GTATAATAAGGAAAAGTAATTCAAGATATTCAAGCCCCTTAATAGTGATACCGAAAAAAATCGACAATTCAGGTAAAAGGAAGTATCGAATAGTAATTGACTATAGAAAGCTAAACGAAATCACGATAGATGACAAGTTTCCGATCCCAAATATCGAATCAATTTTGGACAAACTTGGAAGAGCTCAATATTTTACAACGTTAGATTTAGCCAAAGGCTACCATCAAATTTTAGTTAAAGAGGAAGATAGAAAGAAAACAGCCTTTGTAACGCCACACGGCTTATATGAGTTTATAAGAATGCCATTCGGGTTAAAAAATGCCCCAGCCACATTCCAGAGACTTATGAACGAAATTTTGAGAGACCACATAAATAAAAAATGTGTCGTTTATCTAGATGATATACTAATTTTCAGCACATCGCTGCAAGAACACATTCAGACAATCAAAGAAATTTTCAAAATTTTGGAAGAGAAAAATCTAAAGATCCAGATAGATAAATGCAATTTTATGAAAAGGGAAACAGAATTTCTTGGGCATATCTTGACAAAGGAAGGAATTAAACCCAATCCCAATAAAATAGCTATTATAGAAAAATTAGTACTACCACGGACAGAAAAACAGATAAAAAGTTTCCTAGGTATAACTGGATATTACAGAAAGTTTATTAAGGATTATGCTAAAGTAGCGCAACCTATAACAAAATATTTAAAGAAAAATGTGAAAATAAACCCAAAAGATCCAACTTATGTAGAAGCATTTGAAAAATTAAAACATATGATCAGTTCACACCCCATACTTAGATTTCCCAATTTTGAGAAAACATTTACACTTACGACTGATGCGTCGAATTATGCAATAGGTGCGGTACTATCACAAGAGGGCCACCCAATTTGTTTTGCATCCAGAACACTTAATACGCATGAAAGAAATTATTCAGCTACCGATAAAGAATTTTTGGCAATCCTTTGGAGCGTAAATTATCTTAGACCGTATTTGTATGGAAGGAAATTTAAGATACTGACAGATCATCAGCCGATAAAATTTTTGCATTCGAAACATAAAGGGAAAGATATCTCACCTAGACATCAAAGATGGTTATTAAAACTAGGAGAATACCAATTCGAGATTGACTACTTAAAAGGAAAGGAAAATAGAGTAGCCGATTTCTTGAGCAGACTCGATGACAATGACTACCTCATTCAGAACAAAAATGACACACTGGACGAAAAAAACGATAACATGTCAGAAATAAATATAATAGCAAACTTAGAAGACAAAGAAGATAATTCATCAAACGCGACAATACACTCAGCCGAAGAAAACCTTCACAATCATTTTTTCATAAAGGAGGAAATAGTTAATAAATACAGAACACAAATAATAATTACAAATTGTAAAACAGAAGAATTTAAAACCATAAAAGATAAAAGAATAATTTTTATAGCTAAACATGATTTTCCAACGATGGGAGAGATTTTTAAGAAATATATAGGCAAAGGAAGAATTGGAATTTACTCGTATCTACCATACCACGAATACAATATAGTACAGGAAAAATTAATAGAAATGTTTTCAAATGACAAACAAATAGAATTCATTAAATGCACGCTTAGAGCTCAGGACATGGAATCCGAAACAGAAGCAGTCAAACAAATATCGTTTTATCATGTAAAAGAAAGTATGCATTCAGGCATTCAGGAAACGTACAACCAATTAAAAAGTAGAATATACTATCCAAAATTACTAGAATTGGTGCAAATGGTTATTAACCAATGTGATTTGTGCAAAGAAATAAAATACGACAGAAATCCTATAAAGAACAAATTCAAAAAAACCGAAACTCCATCAGATAAGAATCAAATTATTCATATAGACACATACGTAGTAAGAAATACACATTTCTTAACAATTATAGACAAATTTACCAAGTTCGCAGCAGCATATTCACTAAATGATCGAAATCATATGACCATAGTAGAACAACTAGAAGAACATTTCACAAAGCTAGGTAAACCAGATAAAATCATAGCTGACAACGAATTCAATTCGATCAGAATTAAAGAATTATTAATGCAAGAAGGAATAGAATTACATCTAACTAAACCAAATAGTCACACGGGAAATTCTGACATAGAAAGGTTACACAATTCATTAGCAGAAAAACTTAGGGTAACACTAAAAACAGAAACATCAAACATGACAATAAAACAGTTATTGCAAAAGGCAATTAGAAATTACAATGGCAGATATCACTCTACAATCAAATGCACTCCCAACGAAGCTCAGAATAATAAAGTAGAATTGACAAAAATTAAAGAAAATATTGAAAATGCTAAGGAGAAAATGTTAGAAAAGAACAATTTCAACAGGGAAAACTACAAAGAAAAACGAGAAGAAGGATTTATAAAAAATTACAAGGCAGTCAGACACAAAGAAGTTCCAAAATATAAAAAGGAAAAACTTAAAGGTATTGACCCAAAGAATATTAAACGAGCTTACAAATTTACAGAAAACGCTGATGACGACAATATTAATACTATTAACAATAACGACAATATCAGGAACATTGACGACTCAACAGATACTTGACCAAGACGGATACGCACTAATAGATATAAAAGACCAAGCTATAGTAACGACTACAGACATAATAGTTCACATAATTAATTTAAAAGACATTGACGACACGTTAGGTGATCTAGAAACCAACATACAAATGTTAAAAAACGACAACAAACATATATTAGAGACACAACTAACAGAGACAAAACATAAACTATACACATTATATGGAAATCATACACGTAAAAGAAGAGGACTGGTTAACGCAGTAGGCAGTGGAGCAAAATGGTTGTTTGGAACAATGGACGAAGAAGACAGAAAAGTTATAGAAAATCACTTATCTAATTTCAAGGAAAACATGCAAGAAACCAATGAGTTAGTAAACAAACAAATTTATATTAACACATACTTCAACGACACAATCAGTCACATAAGGTATCTAATCCAATCAGACAGGAGAGCTATAGAAAGTCAGTTAAGTTCAATTAACAAATATGAAAATACAAGAAATCAGGAGAACCTATATTATGACCAACAAATAAAAATTCAATTAATAAGAAATAAAATAGAACATTTACAAGACAACGTTGCATCCGCCAGATACAATATCTTACACCCCAGCATATTGACAGATATTGAGATCACAAAATATAATATAAATTTCAACAAACTAAATAATCTCAAGCTAGCTACAGCAGTTTTGAAAAATAATCTATTAATATTCGCTATCGAAATTCCTACAAACTTTATTACAATAAAAACCCAACAAATAATTCCCGTACCTAATTATGAACATTTTGAAATAGATCACAAGTCCGAAGTTATATTTAAATATAAAAACATTACATACACATACGAAAGTAATAAAAAATTAAAAGAAATGAAAAACAGCAAGCATTGTATAATTAAAAACAATTGTAAACTAATAAAAAGTAAAGAGATGGAAATAATAGAACTAGACGAGGAAACCATAGTAATAAATAATGCGAATAACGAAACATTATATCAAAATTGTAACAACAAAACAATACAAATTGTAAATAACACCTTAATACATTTTGTAAATTGTACAATAGGTATAGATAATAATTATTTTACCAACACTGTCGAAGAAGAAAATGAAAAAATATTATTCGAAAAAAAGGAACAAATCCAAAATTTTACAAAACAAATTACATTTGAAAGCATATTAGAAAACAATAAAATAAACTGGGTAAACATTAAACAATTAAAGACACACAAAGATATCATCTACTCCTTTAATGCCGCTGTAATTGTATTAATAATCATATTAATAACCCTGATTGTATTAAAACACAAAAAAATCAAAGTTCAACTGAACAGTAATAGAATTCAGGAGAATTCTTTTCTAAAGGGGGGAGAAGTTATGTACAGATCCACTTCATTCCCAGTCCATAATACACAAACAAAACCAATTAGCCAGACAGTTCAAGAGTTATTGGACTCTATAAATGTAAAGTAAGCAATTTCGCGACACGAGTTAATAAACTCTTGTAAGCATCCGGTTTCGCAACCGTGACCTAATTTCATTGCCCTTTAGTAAACAATTTCGCGACATGAGTTATTAAACTCCTATATGCTTCCGGGTTCATAACGAAACCACCGCAGATAGAATAAGTCTAATCAGCATGTTTCGCAATCATATAGAATAAGCTAAATCATAATTCAAGTTAAGTACACCAACACCAACCAATTGTAACCCAAATGTAAAACCCTTTAAATACGACTTTTTGAATAAAGACAAATCAGTTATAATTCGCCACTGAAAAACTAAACGTCGTGTTCGTATTTAATTTTTTATTAAAACCCGTCCCGCAGTACAAAATTCGCGTTCCTGCCGTTTCTCGCAGCTTCTTGGCTGCAGTCGGATAATGTCACGCTAATGCCACCAGCTTTGTCCTGCTTAATGTTGCGTCTAGTTATTGGATTTCTGGTATATGCCGGCAAAGGGATTGCTTACTTTATCCTAGGTATTCCGGAGCAGTCGAACGAAGACGATGCGGCGTTGAGGCACTTTTGATCGACATGGCGAAGAGAAAAACTATATAAATCTTTAACAAAATAGTGCGATTTTATTAAATTACAATAAATAAGTTGCATTTCAAACTTCACAATACCATTTCAGTGTTGTTTCCTGCACATAGTGCGTTTCCTGAAAATAATTTAAATTTAATTGGAGTCACAGCTGCACAATAGTGACATTCCCTTCAGCGTAACCACATATTTATGCATCCTGGCGATAATTTTCTTGTCAAGCGCACAATTTGCGTGAGTCCAGGATACACCGATATGATAAATGTGTATAAATTATGCACATGCAGAGGGGAGAACGGAACCCTATAAAAACGCCAGGAGCCCCGCACAAAGCAAACACATGCCGGAGAGGAGAAGTCGGTGCGAAAGTGGCCATATAAAATGATTAAGTTGCAAGTGAAAGTTATTTCTTGGCTCTTTATAATTTTAACAGCATTTTTATGCGTGCCGCAAATTGAAAGCATAAATACCAATTTCCTCGAGCTGGCCGCCTTCGAGGACTTTTTGCGCTCGCAGCACTTGAGCCAGGTCCTGGTCGTCCGCAGCGGTGATGGCGGTAATGGCGACTGGCAAGTTGAATGCCACCAGAAATTGTTGTCCAACTATCGTGTGCAATTTTACCGGCCAGGAATGCCCCAGAATTTCGAGGATCTCATGTTCTACGGGTCGCCGCGCACAGCGGTCCTGGTGCTGAATTTCAGGCACATCCTTGTGAGGCGACATGTCTTTCGGGCGGCCTCCGAGGCGGGGTACTTCAATAATTCGCTGGCGTGGTTTATTCTCGGCTCCAGCAGCGAGTCCCTGCCAGACGAGCGGCTGATTGAGGAGCACTTCAGTGGCTACAGCATGGGAATTGATGCGGATATCACGGTGGTTCTGCGGCGTCCGGATAAGTAAGGAATATATAGGGTAAGGTGGGGTAAAGCCGACCTAGTAAATGGTTTTGGCTATAAAATGTTTATTTTACATCGGATAAAGTCGTTATATATACCAAATTAAAGGTTAGACTTTTGCGCAACGTTCTATGCATAGCATTTTATTCATACCTTTGAAAAGTTTTGAGATACAAGCGTTTTACGAAAAAGTTCATTTTTGCTATGTTCAAAAATGATGGGGTAAACCCGACCGCCTATGTTTTTGGTTGATTTAGTACAGATATAACCTAAATATAGGTTTTGCAATGATAAATCAATCAATGTTATGTTATATAATGGTAATAAAAGATAAAAGAATTAAAAAAATTAAAATAGCAAAATAATTAATCAGTATCATCTGATTCGCTGCTCAAATAGCTTGCTGGCGTTTTTTGGTTCGAGTTGAACGTTTGATTGGCTGCGATGTTGATGGTTTTGGTGTGATTGTTGTTTTTTTTGGATTTTTTGCGGCAGGATTTACCCCACTATTTAGAGGTCGGATTTGCCCCACCACGTAATTTTTCATAAAAACGCAATAAAAAAGAAATTATGAAAAAAAATGAACCAAACTTATATGCACTTTGTAGGACTTTATTCAAAGAATCTAAATCCACTTACCTTTTCATGCGATAACTTTGACAAAAAGAAATATCCTGCAGTTAATTATGCACAAAAATGAAATTCAAAATTGTGAAAACAAACTTGTTGTCGTTTGACCATCTCAATGTTGACTAATAAAATGCTGTCATACCACCATTTACATTGTTTTCGATGCTCTACACGACAACACTAATATTATTTTGCGTAGTGCTTCCGATATTCGAAAACAGAGGGAGGTCGGGTTTACCCACACTGTCGGCTTTACCCCACCTTACCCTACAATATCGCGGAATATTTTTAAAAATTAAAATGCAAATTTTATTGTCAGCACTTCCTGGTTGCTTTACGATGTTTACCGCATCAGCTCCCAAGGCCCCACGCCCCTGATAATTGGAAGAAAGGGCCAGTGGTCTGTTTCAGGAGGTTACCAGCTTTTGGATAATTATAGAAACAGCTGGGTCATTCGTCGACGAAACTTCGGCCAAATCACCTTGCAGGCCAGCACTGCGGTGAGTAAACATGGTGAGGGTCTTCTCAACTTGCACTCAGCCACCCCCTCTCTTACTTCAGTTGACAGAGAAGCCTTCTGGATTCGATGACATGACCTACCTGGCGGACGATATACACCTCCTGGAACGGGATCCCATGCAGCGGAAGACCTATCAGTTGTTCAGACTCGTCCAGAGCATGTACAATCTCAGGTGGGTCTGCAAAAATGGCAACAAGGTATCCACTAATGAGCCGGTTTTAACACTGAAAATAATATATATAAAAATTACCTATTTATTTGTTGCACTTTGTATATATGAAAAAGAAAACGAGAAGCTCCTTAATCCTAGTTTCAGCCCCTCTTATGTTTTAGTACATTTAAATTCACACTTTTTTTCAACGTGCAGCCTGGCCATCAGTTTCACAGACAGGTGGGGCGAGCTGCTGGAGAACGGCAGCTGGAGCGGAGTGATGGGTCAGGTGACGAGTGGCGCCGCAGACTTGGCCGTGTGTCCCATGCGCTTTGTGGTGGACAGGCAGCCCTACATTCAGTACTCGCCAGTGCTGCTCACCCAGGAGTAAGCTAATCCCTTTGAAGTCGAATCCCTGACTGATTTTCAACCCCTAGCATCCACTTCATCTTCCGCCATCCGCGCCACAGCCACATCCGGAATATATTCTTCGAGCCCCTGAGCACCCAGGTGTGGTGGTGTGTCCTTGTCCTGGTCGCGGGAAGCATTCTACTCCTTCTGCTGCATGTACGACAGGAGAGGCTGCTCCATCGATCCCACGTGGAGAGCCGCTTGTCCTTCGTCTGGTTCAGCATGCTTGAGACGTACCTTCAGCAGGGCCCTACCACTGACACTTTCCGGCTATTTTCCACTAGACTTCTGATCAGCTTCTGCTGCACTTTCAGCTTCATGCTTATGCAGTTTTACGGAGCCTTCATAGTGGGCTCTTTGCTCTCGGAGAGCCCAAGGAGTATTGTTAGCCTGCAGGATCTGTATGATAGCAACTTGGTCATCGGCATGGAGAATATTTCCTACAACTTTGCCATGTTTACGAATACCAGCTACCAGCTCGTGAAGGAGGTTTTTGCCCAGAAAATCTGCAAGTCCGGGGAGCACAACATACTGACGCTTCAGCAGGGCGCTGAGAGGATCATCCAAGGACGTTTTGCCTTCCACACGGCCATGGATCGCATATACAGACTGCTGATGGACCTCCAGATGGACGAGGTAGAGTTCTGTGAGCTTCAGGAGATCAAGTTCACTTCCACCTACACCACGGGATCAATTATGCCCAAGGGGTCGCCGTGGAGGGAGCACCTGGCCCACGCGCTGCTCCATTTTCAGGCCACCGGACTCAAGCAGTACAACGACAGGAAGTGGATGGTGCAACGGCCGGACTGCAACCAGTTTAAGGCCTCCCAGGCAGAGGTGGATCTGGAGCACTTTGCACCGGCACTCTTCGCCCTCGTCCTAGCCATAATGGCCAGTGCCATGGTCTTTCTGCTGGAACTTCTTGTGCACTGGCTGCCGGAGCTCCGAAAAAGGTTGCGAGCCATGTCCACTTAAGTAATCATCCTGCCCCAGCCCAGTTCAGCCCAGCAGTTGCCCTGCCACGACTTTCGGCTACAAATTTTGTGTCGCTTTTAATGTTTTCTGCATTTTTAATAATAGTAAAAAATTTGTAATAATGTCAGCTATTCCCAGCTCAGAAGCTCCGTCGCGGGGCCGAAATTAAAAATTCCATTAAACTGCAAACACTTGCATGTACTCAACTAGCTCTGGTGGTGGTTCTGGTCCTGGTCCCGTAGCCTCCTTGGCTGGGGTCAGGCCGAGCTGCCTGCATTGGGCGCCCTGTTCATTTGGACTTAATTATGAAGCTGGCTGGAGGCGGTGTCACTTGTTTTCTATTAACGGACAAGCTTTTAAGGGGCGAGAAGCTGTGTTAGTTCCGCGGAGGACAATTCAGTTAGCGAAAAGCAAGTCCTCTGGTCAACTTTTTAAGCAATACATGGTAACAACTTTAAGGTTTTTGGATAGTTGAAGATCAAACTTCTATTAAGAAATATTTTAATGTATAGTTTTAAAGCAGATAATAATATAATAATATTGTCTTGTTCTTGAAAAAGAAATTACTTGTAATAACCGCTGGCCAATTGTGTAATCACATTTGATGCAATTGGATGCGTGTTCCGTGTCCTGCTTAGAGCCCTATGGTAGTGGCTACGCTTGTCCTGGCCCTGGACTGTGGTCACGCATAACCTTCAATTAAGCTGTCACAAAGTGGGACAGACACGGATTGCGGTGGGATCTCGGGGGGTCGATATAATCACATTTATATGACAGTTTAGAATGGAATTGTGCAATGAGACGGCACGATGGCATTCCGCACGAGTGCGGCGGAAAAGTTGCAAATCCAACTCGCTTAAACCTTTTGTTTATAAGATGTGACATTTGGGGAGAGCCAAAGCTGCTACGAGCAGTTCTAATTACCACACTTAAAATCCCATTTAAGCGTATGCAAGCGTTATGATTTGCGGATTACTTTCTAACACGGGATTGCATTTGAATTTTGAAATTAATTTGCATAGTCAGGCGATTAAGGTATTTATGAAATAAACTTTTATTCAATTAAATTGATTCGTTTTTGTGGGAGAAATGTCATAAGGCAGCTCCTAAAGTATTTATTGCTGTCTTTAAATATATTTGAATCTTCCCAAAAATAAATAATAATAACACAAACATTGCCGCCAACATTGCTTACATGTAATTCAGCTATTTTCCTTATGTTATTAATGAATTATATCTATAATAAAGTTAACACAAAGCTTTAATAGACGAAAACACAGGGCAACCCAAATTAAATTCAAGTTTAATACCAGATAAGTTGAGTAATTTCTAGGCTATTTTTATACCCTTGCAGGATATTATAATTTCAGTCAGAAGTTTGCAACGCAGTGAAGGAGACCTTTCCGACCCTATAAAGTATATATATTCTTGATCAGCATCAACAGCCGAGTCGATCTAGCCATGTCCGTCTGTCCGTCTGTCCATCTGTCCGTCTGTCAGTCTGTCCGTCCGTCTGTCCGTTTCTACGCAAACTAGTTCCTCAGTTTTAGAGCTATCTCAATGAAACTTTGCATATATTCTTCTATATGCTCTCACTGCTATATATGTCGGAACGGGCCGGATCGGACGACTATATCATATAGCTGCCATACAAATGTTCGATAAATTTTTAGAAAAAAAATTATAACTTAGCTGTTTTTCAACATTTTTGCACCATTTTTTAGATATGGCCATTTTATATTATCCGAAAAGTGCTTGTCAAACTGTAAAAGTTGAATCTCACTTGGACCAGTGCTTATCAAACTGTAATCTGAACTTCCGCCTAAAAGATGCCACGTTTTTAATAGAAAACCCCAAAAGTATGCTTTAATTTTTTAATAATGCTAATGAGCATCACAGATGCAAGTGAGCAAAATTTTTCATTCAATTTGGCCGCTTTCCAGACTGGGGTAACAGGCGAACAGAAACCAGCAGCAAGCAACTGAAAACTGGTATAAACTGTTATAAAAACTTTTGGGCAAATATAATAATTGGTATAAACTGTTATATTTCATTTTATGCATTTATACCTATTTGTTGCCGACAACAACAGCTTGATGGCAACAACAACCCCTTTACAACAACATCCCTGCAGCAGTCCATACAAATTTCTGAAATTTTCCATGCAAATTGCCCGTTTCCCAAATTGGGATAACAGGCGAACAGAAACCAGCAGCAAGCAACTGAAAACTGGTATAAACTGTTATAAAAAGTCCAAGTTTCGAACCATTGATCTTGGAGTAAGCGAAGACTCAAACCAGATGTGACCATATTGTACATTTTTTGGCTAAAATGTTGCTTAAATGCACCTGGGCACACTGAATCTGACTTTGCATCAGTGATGCTCATCTATCTATTTTGTCCCAATAAAGAAATATAGCTAGATGGGCATCACTGCTATTACGCCTGATATATTGCCTCCCAATATTGCAAAATAGCTACATGAGCATCACTGATGCAAAGTCTGATTTTATAGCCTCCCAATATTGCAATATAGCCAGATGAGCATCACTGCCATTAAGCCCGATTTTATAGCCTCCCAATATTGCAATATAGCTAGATGAGCATCACTGATGCAGATGAGCATCACTGATGCAGATGAGCATCACTGATGGAAGTGAGCATCACTGATGGAAGTGAGCATCACTGATGGAAGTGAGCATCACTGATGGAAGTGAGCATCACTGATGGAAGTGAGCATCACTGATGGAAGTGAGCATCACTGATGGAAGTGAGCATCACTGATGGAAGTGAGCATCACTGATGGAAGTGAGCATCACTGAAGGAATTGAGCATCACTGATGGAAGTGAGCATCACTGATGGAGATGAGCATCACTGATGCAAGTGAGCAAATTTTTTCATTCGATTTGGCCGCTTTCCAAACTGGGGTAACAGGCGAACAGAAATCAGCAGCAAGCAAAACTGAAAACTGGTATAAACTGTTATAAAAAGTCCAAGTTTCAAACCATTTCGGAGCCGGCGGAAGTAAGCGGAGACTCAAACCTTTTGAATCCAAATTTAGGTGTTATTTTACAACTGCACCTGGGCACACTGAAACTGATCGTCGTTAAATTCAAATTTGACAGTTAAATTCAAATTCAAATTTGGCAGTTAAAATATTTAAAAAATTTTTTTAAATTCTAAAAAAATTTTAAAAATCTAAAAAAATAAGTTAAAATATTAGAAAAAAATTTTAAATCTAATTTGAGACATGAGCTTCTGGTATTTTATCAGAATTTTGGTATAAATTTTATGAAAATCGGACGACTATATCTTATAGCTGCCATAGGAACGATAGGGAAAGTAATAGACAAAATTATAACTTCGTTGTTTTTCAACGTATTTTCATTTACTTTAAGACATGAGCTTATTTCAGAATTTTGGTAACAATATTATGAAAATCGGACAACTATATCATATAGCTGCCATAGAAGTGATCCATAGATGTAGAGAAAATGTAAAGCTGGGAATGTATAACTGTAACTTTCAAACTGTAAACATAATAAGTATAGGTAAAATGTTATGAAACTCTGCTTAGTGTCTGTTTTCGGCATTATAATTGATGATATAAATATGAAAACCAATCTGCAAGGGTATACAAACTTCGGCGTGCCGAAGTTAGCTTCCTTTCTTGTTTATTATGAAATAACTATTTGTGTGTCGGCAAGAATTTGGAGCCATTACGACAAAGGTGCATTATATATTTGGCTATATTCCCTGGGCCATTGAGGCTTCTCCTGAGTCTGCACACACATACACTCACACACCCGTCAAATTATGCAAATTTACAACATGATTAAGCTCGTTTAGCCGGACTCCCGACCAACTGCTATATAGTAGCCCCAATGTCGTCAACGTTCGGTCTGTTCTCGTGTTTGTTTTGCAATTCAAATGAATTTGCTGGGGTTTTGGCTGTGAAAAGGAACAGGAACGGAAACTGGAGATATGGGTGGGAATAATGCTGGGGCAGTGCTGACAAGTTGGACAAGAATTACTCAAATTCGTTGCTATGTTTTAATAAATATATATTTTTAACAGAAGTATATTTATATCTCTACAAGACAATTAGCTGAAATTGTAATTTTGTAAAAAAAAAAAGGAAAAAAAATATATAAATTAGGTACTCATTTTATAAGTGATTTATTTTAAAATAATATTCGAATTTAGAAATTTCATTAAACTATTTGTGTGCTTATCCGTGTGGCCCCTTTTAAGTGGCTGCACTGGCCAGGGACTATCCCGGCCCATTCCCAGGACATTTGGGCTTGTTTGTTTCAATGTTTAGTTGTGCGCTGTCTATCCTCTTGCTCCTTTGGTTACATATAAATTCGTACAAATTGTTCAATGGCCGGTCGCTCTCAGTTCCCTTGGTCGAAGTATCAATTGTTTGGCATTGGTCTTTATTTATGCATTGTTGTTGGCATTGTCGGCGGCTGTGTTGTTGGCCTGGCCTATCCGATGTCTGCGTGGCGGTCTGTGTGTTTTATTGCTTATGGTTATAGTCGGGATATGGCCGGCCGTGCTCTGAATGAATTTATATTGTTTTTGAAGTGTTTAAATGTTTGTCCGTGTTTGCCGCAGGTCCTGGCGCTGGGCGCTGTCACTAGGCGCCGCCACACTGGGCGTATGCGTAATGCGAATTTATGCAGGCTTAATGTTATGGCAAGTGCCCTGGAATGGAAATTTCGTCGCCTCAGCGACAAGAGATTGAAGTTTATGCAAATGAGGCTTTAATCGAGATTCGACTCAAGTGCTAATTAAATAAGACAAAGTCAACTTTAATGTGCAGCTAATAGAGGCGAGGAAAGTATTTAAATGCGAGGGAGCCAAGGAAATCTCTATTGCTTGGGGCTTTTCTTTCTGTTTTTCTGTTTACCCCAGAGCCCTCTCAGGTCTTATTTATTCTTTCAAGTTACGCTTGCTTGGCCACATCTTGAACCTGGCTAAAAACCGTAACCGA